CCAGGGGACGGCCAAGATTAACCTGGTGCAAACATATGGAAGGAGTCTGTTCCAGACTCCAGTTGTCTTCAGCCGAAGCTCAGACTCTGGCATAGGAGCAGAAACATTGGAAGCACTGTCTTAACTCGTCTGTCTCCGCGCCTTGAAATGAGAAGGGGCGATGGAAGATGAAGGTAATGATGAAGATGTCGACTGCAAAACTAAAGCAAATCAAGCCATTCTGTTGCAATGATCCAACAATCTGCTGTAAAAAGCCATGTTAGATTATGCGATTAACTTTGCAGTCATGACATTCATACACACTTGTTTGCCCGTGATTGTGAACAAACAAATAAAAGAGGCAAAAAAAGCAAAATAAACAAATAAAAATACTTCGGCTTAGCAGCCGCCTCGACGCTAAATACCGCAGCGGAATTGAACAAGGCGGAATCAAACTTGTCTGGTTTGATGAACCCCTTGCAAACGACGAACATCTCGGCGGACTCTGTTCGTGACGCTTTCGGCTTAGTTGCATGCACCTGAAAATTATGTCACTGAGTAAGTAAGTAACGGAAACCAGCGATCAAATACCTTTTCAAAGAGGCGACCAAAGATTTTCATTAGATCCTGGTAATCCTTCGAACGAAACACCTTAGTGACGAACCATCCTCCAGGGCGAAGGAATACGCTTGCGAGCTTCAGTGCGTACAATACCAGCTGCGCTAAATAAAAACATTAAGAGTCTTTCGACCAGTGAAATAATGTGCTGTCCAAAAACGAGTTGAAATGGTCAACAAGCAATTATTTATGATCAACCCTTCGATTATTACGGTTCTGCTTAGAAGGTCGGATGAGGTGTAATGCACCTGCTACATTGAATGCCAAAAGTTGTTGCTCATCTCTCGAATTAAATAGCATTGAACTGCATCAGTGTCCTCCGCAGAACAAAATGGAATAAAGACCAACGTGGCCTTAGATCAAAATTACAAAAGAACCAAAATGTCAGCAATATCGCATTTCTCCGCCGACCAAATCCCTTTTCTTCTGAAAGTTTTCCAATACCAATATCAATACAATACCAGTATAGTCTTCAGACAAATCTTCCAACCAGAATTTCTGACTAAAATACTGAAGCAACTGAAAATTCGTCATTAGTCTATGGAATTTGACACCATCGAAACCCTAACTCGCCTCTCGCCTATTAAGCTTAAGACCATTATATTTCTGATCTGGCCTTAAGTTAGTTATCGCTGTCAAATTAGATTTTCAATTAAGCAAATGAGCTGTTCAAAATGTGGACTCAATGTCGCCGAAAGGGGGCGATTTAAACGCCAAAAAGCATGAGACATTGGAAAATTTCTTTTGAGCTATTCCAACAGCACTTCACACTGAGAGAATTCTGTTTGGTGGTCATATAGAAAAATAACATAATACATGGCTCATTGATACACAACGCAAAAAAATGTTATTTAGCTTACAATTCTAAAAACGATATAGAAGGCTTTCTGGGCTCTAAATCTACTACCTACGGACAACAGGAAAAACCTCCAAAACTTTTGCAACTTCCTATGGTGTAAAAAGGCCGAAATACATGAGCCGGAAGGTCGGTATTAATCAGTCATCGATTGACCATGTTGTTTTTCGTTATTTATTAATAAGCCTGTTTTATGCTGTTTTTTTTCAGCCTTCTAGACCGCGTTTCTGAAAAATTTACGTAAACTATTGCCTTAAATCCATCAATTTGCACAGCAAGAAGGCAATAAAATCAATGACCTCTCCTTGCTAAGTTCAAATTACCTTAATCTATGCTAACGACTACTAGGGATCCTGCATGGTAGGGTTGGATGGGGTTAATTTCATGGGTGAAGATTAAATCCCACGATAATTAACAAGTAAATAAACTGACATGAAGACATAATAACGACTGATAAGAATGGATTTGAACTGGTAAAAACAGAACTGCAAATTTGTAGCAGTTTCCTATTCATAACTCGAAACCAGAAAAAGCAGCAGAAAAAAGAAAAAGGAGAACACAACGATGGCAATGAAAGAGAAAGAAAAGATAACGATAAAGACAGAAAAGGAATGGAAAAGAAACGTGCCTCATGGCGGAAAAAATACAAATGCCATATTTCCATGCCAATCAATCGAACATTTACCACCATCGTCAGAAATTTACCCTGTGCAAAAGCGTCGTAATGCCAGTTCTTTCCGACGTTTGGAGAACCGTCGTGCAAAACGCAATCGGCTGACCACGTCTGCAGCTGTTTCTGGATCGCAGTCTTGCAACTGTCTTTCGTAATGTCGTCCTGTATGGTAACAACATTATGAAGAGGCTTTATTGGCACCAAATCTATTCCTTAAAATAAAAATCTAGTGATTAATACAAGTTCAAAATTATTATGAATTTCATCTATCATCATCAATCCTCTCATCCGCCAGAATGACCAGTTCCAGAGGTAAATTGCGTTTGTTCCTTGAATTTGACAGCCCGGGGCCAGCTACTCAATAAAATTTCAAACTTATGTCTCGTTCTCCTTGAAACTGAAGATATACTATTTACTCTACTAACCACTAACTATTTACAAGTATCTGTGCATGTATGTATGTATGTATTTATGCATGTTTGTATGTATGCATGTATGTATGTATGAACTATCCGACAATAGTGAGACTTTGCAAAACTTCTGCAAAACTGAGCAAGCGACTCAAGAAACACGTATGGATGCAAACTAGCCATCATATCCTGGCATTATCCATCATATGATTCCAAAACGGGATTCTTCCTTCGTCTTATCCGCCATTCAGGATCTACTGCTCAGAAGCAAGGCGACATTGAGGAATGCATTTGCGTTGTATTCGGTTAGAATTAATACAGAGGTGACATCTTCGTTTAGACGGAAATTTGCATAAAGGAAACTACAATTTCTTCAAATCATGACTTGCTCGTGTTCATGAAGGTTGGCAACTAAGAAAAAGGCGCGCACGCACTTTTACTCACTCTATAATGCAGGCGTGATGATAAAAGACATCCTCCAATAGAGAGTTGATATGCTGATAGCTAATAATGGGCGACAATTATGAAAAACAGTTAATGCATTACTCCTTTACATACCGATAATTAAACTGGAAATTGGCATGTATTGTGTGGCTACTTGGAGCCATCCTCCAGGGGCAGCACAAAGATCGATCAGCACCTGGGATCGTGACAGAAAATCAAACTTGTTATTCAGTTGAATCAACTTGAATGCAGCTCGAGATCTGAAGCCTATAAAGATACATGTTAATAACTTACCGAATTTGCATATTCAGTGGACATTGATTGTTTTATCTGATGAAGAGCAGTTGATTACTGCAGTTTCGCTTTGGAGTTTCTTTATGTCGATAAAACTTAACGACGGATACCAATACTATGATATGAACGCAATTTCATTTCATACAGCTATAATAACTGTGAGAATTGGCTGTTTGCTGACTAGCGGCGTTACCCAACGGCGCACTTTACGTACCTCGCTACGTTGACGTTATGTCACCCATCGGTCGCCCTTTTGAAAGTATAAAGCTTATTGTTTGTAGGGGTTAAAGCATATCTCATTTTTCAGCATAGCCAGGAGGGAATACATAAATAAACAGCATAAAACAGATAGATGATAAATAAAATAACACTTAATGAGTAAAACAAACGCGGAAGACAACATAGAGTAGATTATAGGTGAACTAAATCTGAGACAATGCAACAATATGTTACACTGAGCATAACTGGCAGTGCTGACGGAGCGTCCGGATATCTGAGAATTCACGCTGAAGACTGGATAATGGATCTTCTAAACAGTTCGGTTTGAGAAGATACGTTAAGGTAGGATGATCTGACTGACACACTTCCTGACTGGCATCGAGCAAGGCTGTCGTACAATGGTGAGTTGAGTTATCAATCGCCTTCGTCGCCATTTGTGCACCTTGAGCCACAGAAGATTTGGCTACACATATTGCAAGATCTCTGTAAGGCACGTCGCTTAGTTCTGATGCTAACTTTAGTGACAAAATGATCTTTAAGTCGCATATTTGCAGCCCAGAGAATACAAAGTATAATTACATCGTCCCCGTTCGCCTAATAATCTGTAGAACCGTTTAGATGGAACGCGTTTCCACAGTATTTTAACATTTACAATGTATTGATGCAACACTGTGCAGGGCTGAACACAAAGTTCTGTTCGGACACTTGCGAACCTTCGGCCGAAATTCTTCCACTGAGGAATGGAAGGCACTGCCGATAGGCTTTTGCCTCGATAGAGAATTCAACAGAGTAAGGAGCACGAGGGTTGTACATCAGACGGGATGAGGCAAAAAACTAAAATGCCATGTTAAAAGAATATATGCAACAAGCATCCCCGCGATAGAAGCTGATGAAAACAAAGCCCTAGCGAATTTTTAGATGTACTGGTTTCCCGAAGAATGGGGATTTACATCAAAGAAGTCTACCATAGAGCAATTCTGTGAGTTATTTCCTGCCCTACGATTCCAACCACCATAACAGCATTAAAAGAGGCAGTGCAGATACTCTGATCTACAGTTTTCTGGAAGTTGCATATAAAGAAGTCGAAAACAGCTGCGTTATTACCTTAGGGAAGAACAGATATGTAGCAAAGCTTATCAGTGAAACGATGAAAAAGTACAAAAATATAGAACAGCACCAGGTAGAACCGGTTAAAATGTGGTCGTCTGCTATGTACTTTGTCTTCATGAGAAACCATGAAGAACGCTCGCAAATTTGGCGTATAAGTTATTCTACAGGTCTAACTCTTCACTACCAACTAACTCGATATACACTATTCTCTGCGAATATGAAGCTACGAACATTTTGGAAACGGGAAACATGATCGAAGATCGAACAAAAAGATCTCCACTCGCAGCTCACAGAATGGAACAATGCCGATCTCAGGTAAAGTAGACAAGATCGAAATTGGTGTGAGGGCGAACAGACGAAGGTCCTGACGGAAATATAAAGTAAATGCGAATGAAACTCTGCATAGATCGAACATGCAGTGAAACAGAATCATATCGTTTATTAGAAAAACATGAAAAGTGCATGGGGTTTAAAAAACTAATATTTGAACAGAGACAACGGCCAGTACTAGTCATCACTTTGAAGCATGGTACGTATCAACAATTATTTGATTGTATTTGTACCTTAAGGTCATTATACAGTCTGCAACGTTATTGCTGAATGCGTTGTTCAAATACAGTGTCCTCTTAAGAAGGATCCTGCTCGTACCGAAGCGTCGGGATCTTGTTTAATATATTTCTGTGTTGAGCAAACCCTTCGAAGATTATATAGACAAGGATCTTTAAAGAATATTAACGTTTATATTTTATCTCGAAGCCATTGCTTGTTTTCAGTGTCCCAACGACTAGCGTTCAGATGAGATAGAGTGAACGGTCTTTGCTGCTTAGAACTCAGTTTTACAGCATTAAAACAAACGAAATATAGAAATGATCGTCATCACAAATCACAATGCAAACAGATAAGACCAAAACTACTTACGAATCCGTTAAACTAACATAAACATAGAATAAATTTAAGGAATGATATGTTAAGCGTTGCCAACTAACTATAGCATTTACAATAAACATTAGTGTCAAATTATTTGTGTATATGTTCTTATACATTTTTCGCTACTATTTCTGCTGATACGAAGAGATATTTTAGACAAATCTACACATACAATTGCAAGGCTTCTGTTTCGCATCCAGGCAGATTCGAAATAAGCTGATACCGGACTAACTTAAAAACCTCCGAATTCGATATCGCCAAACAATTCCAAACAGCAACAAAACACAGAAGAATAGACAAGCTAGATTTTGCAAAATCGTTTAGATAATCTCTTTCAAAATGTTGAAATTGGAGGAAGTTTAACAGCCGAATGTAAGTGCATTAGCTGCTGGTCAATCATTAATAGTGTCCAAGTTGTCTGCTCTTTCGCACGATGCCCGTTTTGAAGCATTCTGCCATCGTGTTATACCGCTGCTGATAAAGCGTTCTCTTTATAGATTGATTACAAACAACGATGATGATGTCTGGTGCCTTCTAACCAAAGAACAAGTGTTGATGATTTGTATTGAGAGGAAAACATAAATCTTTAAAATGACGGAAGCGCGGCACATTATAATAGTAAGAACAAAAATTTTAAGAGAAAGACTATGAGGGAAAAATGAAACATGATTTTACGACTTATTTACTTTAAGGATATTATTATTGCAACATTTAGATTAGACCAGTGTTACTAGTCTTCCTTAGATTAAGCAAATCAAACGCTCATTCACATGTTTCGAAACGTTACCATTTACACGAAACCAGGAAAGGACACCACTTTTCGGCAGACATAAAACTGCATTTAAAATAATCAAAAACATAGAACAGAATTAAATATTAGAACCCAGGCTTCCAGTCAGAACAACTCAACAAAAAATAACATAGTTCCATCTTAGAAGAGCTATTCCCAACTAACGCAGAAGACCAATACAATTATAACCGTGATGGGATTTATCAATATCTATAATCCATTTGTACAGATATTCTGACAACTGTGCCACTTGAGAATAAATGCATAAAATTAAAATTGCATCTAATTACATCTAAAAGTACAACAATAAAACAAAATGATTCAACTTACCAGTTTCTTTAGCAAGTGAATAATATTTATCTCGCCGCTGCTTTCCGATCTTTCCTTTCCTACCCATTTCTTAAAGTATGAAAATTCGAAGACTGCAGCAAACATAGAATTACATCGGTAACTTTTTATGAAAAAACAAAAAATGCAACGAAGCAACTACCAAATTTAGTTTAACCAAACAGAAAGTTTCAAGCATTAAAAATGTGCATGAAGGAGAACATCCAACGTGCGATTGGTCATCTGAAAAAGCTGAAAACGTCTTCATCAGAAAGCAGCCAAACACTGTGACAACTATAAAAAATGACAAAAAATCGCTCTTCTTCTCAGCGCAACAATTATTTCTATGACAGTATATAAGGCGCTTTAGGAACTCAAATGGAACGAGCACAGTTGTTTTACAGTATACATAAAATTTGCAGGAACTAATACAGCTATAACGAACCTAAATATTTGATACAAATAAATATACAGTGGCACCTCGAGTCACGAACAACTCGACCCACGAGCACAATTTCCGAACAAACTCTGACTCGACCTGCGTACGATGCCTCGACCCACGAACGCACAAACGTGACTTTGGGGTAAGCGGACAATAGCCCCCGTGAACAAAAACAAATTTTGACTCCATGCGCGCACAATGCCTCGACGCACTAATGCCTAAACATGACTTTGGGGCAAGCAGACAAAAG